GCCTGACCCGCGGGAGCTGCGGGCCATCCGGGGGCGGCCCGGGAAGCGGCGGGTGCAGGCCGCGGGAGCGCGGGGCTGGGGGACGCGAGGAAGCGGGGCGAGGATGGTGGGTCGGGGCTTGGAGAACGGAGAATGACGGGGGCGGTGGAGGCGAGCTGGCGGCCTCCGAGGCCTGCGGCCGGTGTCGGGTAGGAAGGAGGTGGGATGCTTGCGGGGAGGCCTCGGGGTGCCAGGCTGTGGGCGAGGAGGCCGGCCAGACCCCAGGGCTCTCCGCCGTCTTGGTGCAGTGCTTTATGCACCGCAGGCCTCGGTCGCCGCTACTGCCTCGGTGTGCTCTTTGGCTGCAGGGAAGGGCAGGGGCTGGAGAAAGGGGATTGCTTGCAGGAAGCATAGTGGGAGTGCGAAAGGGGAGAAAGGGGCCGGAGGGAAGATACCGGATAGGTGGAGGAATGCCGGGGGTGGCTGTGGAGCAGTCTTGAGGATTCTGGGGGTGTTCATTGTGCAGATATATTAGGTGTTTCTTTATGGAAAGAATCGAAGCGTTTCCGAGGCAAGGAAAGAAAGGCATAGAGTAGTTTCTGAGGATAGAAGGGAGAGCATTTGAAGCCAGGGGAGTGCGAAATATTAGAGAAGGTGCAGGGAATGCATAATAGCATCGACAGATGTAGCATAATTATCAATGCTGGCCCAAGGTCTAAAGAGTTATTCCAGATGGGCCAGAGTGGCCTAGTTCGGAACCTGTTTGGGCTCTTCAGTAGATGACATCCGGTAAGTGCGGGTCCCCGCTGTGGTTGGGGGTCATTGAGAATCAGTCACTTAGTCTGTAGGTTGACTTGAGACATTTTAGTGCCGCACTACTGAACTGAAGATCTTGGGAAGAGACCTTGAGAAACCGCCGGGCCTGTGGGGATTCTTGAGGCCATGGAGTTTAGAATTTTAGCAGGTTTGGAGTATTGTCACTTACCGGAGGCTGGCTGAACACCATCCTGGGCAGACACGGGAATAGGAATTACTTGGCCTGGAGGTGTTCTTCTTCGCTCCCTAGCTTCCACGGTTCCAGAAGAGCCGTGCCATATTTCAGCCTAGGTTGCAGGACACAAGATGATAATTGTGCGTGTTGAGAGTTGGTGCATGGTAGTCCCGTGTTTGGGGGCTCCATTTGTAGCCCAAAGGAGTCTAGTTGGCTTGGTTTTATACCTTGGGTTGGCGGGAGATCCTGCTCCTTTCACAATTCTGGATGTACTCTGTCACCGAGGCATGGTGTTAACTGAAGAAAATAACATCTGCCGGCAAAATGTAGGCTTGCAGAATGGAGGCTGTATGTTATCTGTGTTGATCTGAGTTATAAGGAGGTCAAGAGTAGTTAATCTTGATGTCTAAGGAAACTTGAAGTGACAGGATGAGTCCAGGTCTGGTGAGAAGGGACAGTTAGCATCTCTATGTTAGGAAACCAGGTTCTTTCTGTTGCATTTCCTGAGTGCACACTAGACCTGATTTTCAAGAAGGAACATTGGGCGAGGACAGTGTCTTGTCTTTTTTGTTGCTGTTGAAACCCTAGTTCTTGCCGTCCTGGAACTCACTTTGTAAACCAGGTTGTACTCAAACTCGGAGATCCACCTGCCTCTGCCTCCTGAGTGTTGGGATTAAAGCATGCACCACTACGTGGCTAGGTCAGTGTCTTAAGATCTACCAGAATAGTATTTATCTTTTATTGTTAAGAGGAATTACATCCATAATATGTTGTAATACTACTTCAACTGAAGAGAGGATAAGTGTGTTCAATGTGACATTTTTTTTCTGGAAGTTGAAGGAAAGTTTGGGAGAGAAATGGGAAACTCTTACCCCACATTCTTTTAGGAAAGATTTCATTTCTCTAACTAAGATGCTACTTAAGGTGGGGGAGGAGGTTTCTTCCATTACAATTTTTTTTTAATAGAAATATTCAGGATTTGTCTTGAAAAACTTGGAAAATTTCCTGTTAGCACATTTAGATTTGCTATTAAAGATTTTATTTTTATTTGTATGTGTGTGTTTGTGTGAATATATGCCTTGGATGTGGGGGTTCCCAAGGAGGCTAGAAGAGAATGTTCTATGTCCTGGAGCTGGCATGACAGGTAGTTTTGAGCTGTCTGACATGAATGCTAGGAACTGAACTTGGGTCCTTTGGAAGAAGCGCTTTTTTAATGAATGGGTTGTTTTCCAACTTGATTTGGTCACTTTTAAAAAGGGCTGACTTGATATGATGTACCTATTTTTATTGTCGTTATTGTGAGAGAGGCTCATTCCCCTCACTAGTGCTGTATATTGTCAATTCTTTTACTACAATACACCTAAATATAGTACGTCGTTTTCCTTATGCAAATAATATGAATATGTATGTAATTTAAAGATTGTTCTGAAGGGACCAGCAGTGAAAAGCAAACTCTGTCGTTGCAGTTTTTCTTTCCAGAGACTGCTACCTGCTGTGCTGACCCTGCTCCCAAACTCAACAGATCCATTCCATTGTTCCCGGGACAGGGGCTTCATGTAGGGAAGGTGACCATGACTTTCTGAACCTTTTGCCTCCTTAAGTTCTGACATGAAAAGCATCTACATCTAGTGTGTGAAGTGCTGGTAATTAAACCTAGGACTCTATTTATTTATTTGATTTTTTTTTGAAACATAGTTTCTCTGTGTAGCCTTGGCTGTCCTGGAACTTGCTCTCTTGACCAGGCTGGCCCCAAACTCATAGAGACCCACCTGCCTCTGCCTCCTGAGTGCTGGGATTAAATGTGTGTGCCACCACTGCTTGCTGAATCCAAGACTTTTTGCCTGCTGGGTAAACAACACAAACTGAGTAAACTGAGCTACAACTCCAGCCCACTGTTTTCTTAACCCTGTTCTTGTCTTACACCTTAAGAAAATGAACACGACCAGGTTGTGGTGACACGGGTCTTTAATCCCAGCACTTGGGATGCAGAGGCAGGCGGATATCAGTGAGTTTGAGTTCAGCCTGGTCTACAAAAGCGAGTTCCAGGACACCCAGGACTGCTAACAGAGAAACCCTGTCTCAGAAAAACAAAAAATAAAAAAAAAAACCACAAAAAAAACCCCCCCCCCCCCAAAACCAAACCACACTTTGTACAAAATAATGGGTCACTTTATGGCATTTTCACACATGTATATAATGTGTGAAATATTATGTATATAATATTTATCTCTCTGCTACCTTGTGTTCTCCCACACAGTTGTGCTACTTTTAAGCTTTAATATTTTTGTAGTTCGTGGTTTTCTCCAGCTCTAAGTAGTTGGTATGCTTTTATCATTTCTGTTTGGTTTAGGTAGCCCAGGGTGGCCTCAGGGTCCTCTTCTCCCAGGTGCCAGGATTGCAGATGTATGCCACCATGCTCTGCTCCATCATGTCTCTCTTTACAAAATGACATCACCACTTTGGAGAATGACTAGAGAAGTCAGTGTTCCCTGAGTGCAATGGATGACATTTTCTCTTTTTGTCCTCCATTCTGATCTTTAGTTATTTTTGCTTATTAGATGCTTAATACTTTCAAATGATGTGCCTAAGTCTTGATATTAAAATTTTTATTTTAAATTTAATTTTTATTTAAATTAAAGCAATTTTGTTGTGTGTGTGGGCACATGTCTAGCAGGGTGAATATGTGTGGAGGTCAGAGAACAACTTTCACGAGTTGATTTCTCTCCTTCACCTTTCTGTGGGCTCCAGGGATGAACTCAGGTCATCAGGCTAGTATCATTAAGCAGGTAATTTACCCTCTTAGCCGTCTCCCTGGCCCTACCTAAGCCTTAAGTTTTAGAGGCTTAAAAACTCAAATTAGAAACTTTAAACTATTTGCTTGAGTTTGTATCTCTTGATTTGCCCATTGTGTTAGAAGAGCCTTTAAGGGGCTGGAGGGATGGCGCAGCTCTTCTGACTGCTCTTCCAGATATCCAGGGTTCAATTCCCAGCACCACATGGCAGCTCACACCTGTCTGTAACTCCAGTCCCAGGGACTCTCACACCTTCACACAGACACACATTTAGACAAAACACCAATGCATATAACATAAAAATTAGAAAAAAGAGAGAGACTTTAAACTCTTCTAACTTTAAAGAGGGCTTGTTAAAGTAGGTAGAAGTGTTGGGTGAAATGATAAAGGGAGGTTTGGACCCAAACAAGACTTGTAGGAAACAGCGTCTTTGCAACATTAGGTTTGCTGGTTAGAGATGGGGAAGAGGTGCCTACCAGGTTGTGTATTCTTTAGCAGTCTTCTGGAGAGTTAGAGCTAATGAAACATGGGAACGTGTTAAAATGACCCTGACTGTTCATTCCAGATGTCTGAAGTGTTTGTTTGTTCATTTATTAATTCATTGGGGAGAGGGCCTTGCTAAATCATTCTAGACTGGCGGGGAACTTGCAAAGTTGTCCAGGCTTACTTAGGTCTCAGAATCTCTCTGCTTCAGTCTTGTGTGATTATAGGCATGCACCACTATGTCTAGCTGTAACATTTTTTAAAATTGCACTTATTTATTGTGTGTATGCGCACACAGCATGTATGCACACACACCATGATGTAAGTATGAAGGACAATTTGAGTGAGTCAGTTCTACCTTGTGGGTCTGTGGGATCAAACTCAGGTCACCAGGCTTTGCAGCAAACTCCTTTCCCCACTGAGCCATTTCCCTGGCCCCTCACTGTAACACATATTTTGTTAAATAATAGATTGGTGGGAGCATATGGTGGACAAATCTATGATGCTCATTTAGAAGAATGGAGTCAGGGCTGGTGAGATGGCTCAGCTAGTAAAAGTTCTTGCTGCCAAGTCTGATGACCTGAGTTTAGTTCCCAGAACTCACATGGTAGAAGGAGAGAGCTGACTCCTGCACATTGCCCTCTGACCTCTACATGCAAGTGGCATGTGTGTGCATGTATACACATAGAATAAAAATAATAAAAAAGAATGGAGTCTGTTTTCAAAGTTTGTATATGGAGTTAAGGTCAGCACCATAGATATGGGGAGTAAGTACTGTTCTACTTCTTTTAGGAAATCTTATTTACTAACTAAGCTTCTTGGGAGCCTCTTTTATTCTTAATGTCAAGATTTCTTTCACATGTAGATGTGAATACTGAATATTCTAATTTCTTATGCGTATTGTTCTCTTTAAATTTTTCTGGTATTGCAGATTACATCTGGGGTCTTGTGCATGTTAGGCAAGGACTCTGCCACTGAGCTAGCTTCATCGTCTTTGCATATTCATTTATATATTTCCTTCTCTTTGAAAATGCTAACTAGATTGTAACCTGTTCTAGAACTGAGACTTTATTAAATAATATTTGGGGAAACTGAACAGTTTTTGTTTTGTTTTGTTTTTTGAGGCAGGGTTTCTCTGTGTAGCCTTGGCTGTCCTGGAATTCACTCTGTAGACCAGGCTAGCCTTGTGGCCGTGGAACTCAGAGATCTGCCTACCTCTGCCTCCTGAGTGCTGGTATTAAAGGCCTGTGCCATCACTGCCAGCTAACAGTTTGATTTTTAGTAAATACCTGTTGAATGATAGCTAGAAGGTAGTGTTGAGTTAGTAATAATGATGGCACTTGATTAAATTACTGACTGGGTGAGTGTTATAGACAAAAGAATATAGCCGAGTGTTTTGGTGTACACCTTTAGTCAAGACACTCAATAGGCAGAGGCAGGAGGATGTCTGTGAATTCCAGGCCATCAACCAGTGCTACATAGCAATACATTGTCTCAATGAGCAAACCAACACAAGTGCATGT